CCCGAAATGACCCCACTGAAGGATTGGAGAGCTTGAAATCCTCCCGCGACCTTGTCTGACTCCTGACCCAACACGAGGGAGCCGTTCAGGAGCAGGCACTGGCGGGGCAGAGTCTTCACGCCGTTCTTCTTGCTGTGGGAGGAAGGGAAGTGATGGTTATTGTAGGTAGTTTATTATTGTTGATTTTAGTGGTAATCTTATAGTTATTATTATCATCATAATTACAATTCTTTTACAATTCTCCTCCCCTTTCTTCTGCTTCTTCGTCTCCTCCTCCTCCATCTTCTTCTTCTTCTTCTTCTCCTCCTCCTCCTCCTCCATCTTTTCTTCTTCTTCTTTTTCTTCATCTTCTTGGTGTTCACTTCGACTTGTTACACACCCACGCTCTTTCTTACGCAGATAAAGACACACACACCGCCTCTCACACACAAATACCATGAATTTTTCATTTTTCTCTTTTTCTTTTTGGTGTTGCTCAAACCTTTTCTTTCTCTTTTTCTTACATCTTTTTTATTATTTATTAGTCATCTATATATGCATTTATTTTCCTATTCATTTATTCCCTATCTATCTGTCTATTTATCTATCAATATATTTAGGAATTCTCTATGTATCTATTTCTCTATTTGATTATTCCCTATCTATTTATGTAACTATCTGCTTAGGCATTCATTTATTTATTCATAAATCTATTGGCTTATTTACTCATTTATTCATTGATTTACCTATTGGACCATTGAGATATCCATCTATTCATTTATTGATCACCTTTTTTTGGGTATTTGTGTATTTATTAATAAATCTATTGGCTTGTTTATATTTGCCTCTTCATCCATTTTTTTTAATCTCTTTTTGGGGCGTGTCTCTATTTATTCATGCATATATTGGCTCATTCATCCATTCTTTTATTTATGCATTTATGCTTTTTATCGGCATGGCTTACCCATTGAGGTAGAAAGTCCCCGTAGAGTTCTCGCTGTTGGCCACGAAGCACGCGTGGTACCACTCGTCCGGGTAGAGCCTCGTCCCGTCCGCGTAGAGGTACTTGCCTCCGATGGCGATGAAGATCCTGGTGCTCTCTGGAATACATGGGCGCCTTAGGGTCTTTTTTTAATGGATATGATATATATACATGCATATACACTCGCAAATACAAGCGCGTGTATGTATATGCAAGCAAGTACATACGGACGTAGGCATAGGCAGGCAATTATACAGGCGCACGTACGAGCACGTACATACACACACGTACATACACACACATACATATACACACGCATATACAAATACGCACATACACACACGTCCACGCACTCACAGGTGGGCACACACGCACACGCACGTACGCACATACACACACACACACTCCCCGTGCTTCCTGGAAAGAATAACAAGTCCGTCCTATTCTTTAATATACGTCTGTGTATAAGTATTGTCCATGGAGAACTCAAAGAAAAAAGTGAATCGCTTTTTCTGAGTAACTTTTTTCTCGATTTCTTTCTCTCTTTACTTACACGTCCACATTCATAGGTATTCATATTTACTCTGTGACGATCATAACTGCGGAATCACGTTGCTACGTTCTCCTCTGCAAGTGCTACAGCGTGCAGAGTCTCAAGGTGAACATCCTGTGCGTTTGCAGACACCACACAAAGCGCTAATCTTTTTTAAAGATATAATCCGTATTTCATGCGTATATGCTCTGATAGGCTTCAATCGGAAATTTTAAGAAATATATATATAATGAAGAAAAATGTCAACATTTTGGGCTGTTTCAGGCATGAAAAGAGAGCAAGAAAAGAAGGCGAAATATCAAAATATCATATATTTATATAGATAATAGATTTTGATTCACTTTTTTTTTCTCTCTTTTTATGCCTGAAACAGCCCAAAAGTTTAACATTTTTCTTCATTATATATATATTTTTTTTAAATTTCCAATTGAACCCTATCAGAGTATATACGCACGAAATACCTATTGTATATATAAAAAGATTAGCGCTTTGTGTGGTGTCTGCAAACGCACAGGATGTTAAGCATATGATCATCTCCTTTCGCACTTATCTTTAAACTTAAATATTCTTCACACCAACGAAGCAATCAAACGCATTAGTAGACAAATGCATAAATCCTCCCTTAGGTGTCATTCACAGTCGTTTTCCATCCTTTACCTCCCCCAGGATGGAAGGTTTAGCCCCCGGGGACAGCATAAGCGTCTGGAGGTCACCCAGGGACCCGCCACCATGACGTTGCAATTTTGGATGACATGGCAGATGTATTTGCTTTGACTAAACCCCTGAGGAAAGATTTTATCTGTTTTTGACTACGAGTTCATCACGAATTCCATCTCGTAAATCTATTCATTTTTACTTTGTCTAATGTCCTTTTTTTGTTTTGTTTTTTGCTCAGTCTGTCTTCCTAAACGTACATAGACGCACACGCCCAAATACGCACACACCTAGAATCGTTCACGAGGGAATCTCAAGGTTAAAGCAGGCTATAAATTGATAACATCCGAACTCATTATTAACCCTTTGACCGCATAATCATCCAGGTTGTATACTATGTTTATGTGTCCGTTAAAATTTAGGCTATCCGTGCTCATAAAGAAATATCTATTTATTCAAATTTTAAAATATTATTGAATGAAATACGTGCGGTATCTGGTGTCTCGTAAGTAAAGCTATCATAAGTATTCTATCTGTGGCATTTTTTGTTTCTTTGATATCCTTCTCAATATTGTTTATCATAAGTATCAGTGACAAGAGTGACAGGAAATACAAGTAACGACAATAATGCCTCGGACACTAATCATTAGAAGAACAAAAACTATAAAAATAAATTGATAGATAAATTTCAACACGAAACGCTACAATTTACCTCGAAAACTAGCTTCCGAAAAAGGACACTTCCAATCGTCAAAACATTAAGCAACAAGACAACAACACATAATAACTAAGTATATCTGAAAGGCCAGACCTGGACGTTGTCACAAAAAAAAAAAAAAAAAAAAAAAAACGGATTACGATAATCACTTTATAAAAAAGAATCATATCAATCAAAACCAATTTCCGGCCTTGACGCTCTCGCTCGCCTTTGATGAATGTGATTTCGATAGTCCTTTTGTATTCTCATTTATTTTCCTTTTTTTTTTATCGCGATTCCTCACTTATTCCTCGAGATATTGAGTATCAGGTTTCGAACTTTAAGAAAAGGAAAAAAAAAGGAAAATAAAGATAGACGATTGAATGAAAGGTAGGCTAAGTGGCATGCATGAGACAGCATCGTTAAACTTTAATCGTTCAGGACATAAATTTCTACGAAGGTCGTTCTGAAGGGAAGCAGAACGGGAAGAGGAAGGCGAAGCAGAAGATGGAGATGGGGAAGAAGGAATAAGGATGTGGTGGGGACAAGGGGAAGAGAAGGAGAAGAGGAGGTGGAGGAGAAAGAGAAAAAGAGGTGGAGGAGGAGGAAGAGGAGGTAGGGGAGAAAGAGGAGAAGAAGGAGAAGGAGGAGAAAGAGGAGAAGGAGGAGGAAGAGGAGAAAGAGGCTGAATAATTGAAGATGAAGAAAAAAGGAAGAGATAGCAGAAACAAAGGAATAGAAGAAGAAAAAGAAGAGAGGAAAGCGAAGAAGCTGGAGAAGGAGGCAGAGGAGAAGAATGAGGAAGAGCAGAAGATGAAGATAAGAAGGAGAGAATGTAGAAGGAAGAGGGGGGGGGGGAAGAATCTGACAATGAAAACAGAGCATTGGGTGAAAGAGGAGGAGGAGGAGGAGGAGGGCTAAGAAGAGAAGAGAAGGAGGAGGAGGAGGAGGGATAAGGAAGGAAGAGAAAGAAAAGGAAGGGGAGGAGAGGGAGGAGACTGAGGAATAAGGAAGGATGAGAAGAAGGAGTGATAAGAAGAGAAGAGAAGGAGGAGAGGAGGAGGAAACACAGGACCTTGAAGCCTAAAGAAAGAAAGGAGAAAGAAGCGAATCATAATAGCAAGAAGAAACAAAATAAAAACTAAAGAAAATAAGAAAATGAGAGAGAGGGAAACCTACAACAGAAAAAAGCAAATAATAATAACAAATAAATAAATAATAAAAAAACACTTAAAAGATTAAGAAAAAAAATATATAAACCAAACAAACACACACAAAAAAAAAATAATAATAAAAAAATCAAATCTCCAAAACTTACTAATGCCAAAATTGAGCTCGTTGTTCCTCTGGTCGCTGACGGCATACGAGCAGAAATACGAGGCACTCTCCCGGAAGTACTGCACCTTGAGCCACGCGCAGACCGTCACGTCGGACAGGGTCTCGCTGCTGGGACCGAGCCAGACCGAGGCGTGGGAGTCTGTCGTGAGCTGGTTCTCCGGCTGGAAGAACAGGCCCTCCTCGCCGCGGGCTGGGGGGGCGGAGGAGGAGATCATGTGGAGTGGGCTGGGTGGGTGTGGCGGTCGGCTTGGTGGAGGAGGAGGTGGAGGTCGAGAGGGAGAGATGTGGGGGGAGGAGATGGAGAGGGGTGGGTGGGTGTGGAGGTCGGTTAGGTGGAGGAGGAGGAGGAGAGGGAGAGATGTGGCGGTGGGTGGGTGGGTGTGGAGGTTGGAAGTGGGTTAGTTGGAGGAGGAGAGGGAGATATGTGGAGTTGGGTGCACGTGAAAGTCGTGGAGTTAGGTGGATATGGATGTCGGAGGTGGAATGGGCTAGGTAGAGAAATATGGAGTTGGTTAAGTGGATGTGGTAGAATTATGAGAATAGTCCTATATAAACAGAAAAAAAACGTTGAGGTGGAGGCAAGAGAAATGTGGAATCGCTTAGGTGGATGTGGAGTGACAGAAATCGACCCTTTTCGGTGCAGACTTGGAGGTGCAAGCTAGAAGTGTGGAATATGTTAGGTGGATGTAGAAGAACGGTCATAAAGGCCTATTTATGTAAATTAATGTAATAGGTCTATAAATGAAATAGGTTAATGGACTGAATTAATTAGAGCCTAAAGCATCAGGACGATAATTACGTAAACAAACATAAGCATGAACGAAACTGGGTAAATAGGTCAGTTTAATGAATGAACTGATTACATAAATAGGTGAAAACAGCTGAGGTAATGGGGGAAAAAAAGTTAAATAAACAGGTGAAGGGGATGGATTAGATAACTGAGAACAGACGTGGAACAAGGGAATTAATTATATATAAAGCTGAGTGGATGGAATATGTAAATTAAGTGAAAATTATCAGATTAGACTAGAAATGATTAAATTGACGAATAAAAGAAAGTGGAAGATATGATATACGATATACAATAATGATTTGACAAAAATACTACTACTACTAATAAGAAGAAGAATGAAGATAATGATAATAATAACGATGTAACTATAAACATAACAATAATGATGATAATTACATATACACTTGAATTACACCGTATATGTTAGAAATCTGAATAGCATCAGGATAGAATTTAATAGAAAAACGAATTTACAAAATTGCTCAGATAGATGCGAGATTAGGGAAAATCAATTACGTAAATAGATTAGGTAAATGAATGGAATCGCGGAGGTCTATGGAAATTAATGAGAATAATTATAGGCCTAGGAAACGTAGAATGAGAGATTTAATGACACAGTTAAGTGCATCTGATTAAGCTGTCTGGAGAATTAAGAAATATACATGTGTGGAAAGATATGAAATAATGACATAAAGAGAATATGTTAATTTATGATATGGGATAGATGTTTGGATGTATGAAAATGTGGGAAATGATGACATAAGTAGGTGGAATTGACGGCATTTGATAAACATGAGAAATAGAAGAGGTAATAAGGATAATAAGTTGAAATGACTAGTTACACGAACATGGAGATTTAATGGGGGGGGGGGGGGGGGTATTTACACGTGTAAAAAAACGAATGAATATTTTTCAAACGAAAACAAAATAAAACTAGTTACGAAAACGAAAGAATATAAACCGTCAATGAATAGATATATAAGTACTAATTCTAAGAATATGAAATGAAGAAAACATAAACAAAGGACATGAACAGAATAATAGAACACATGAAAATGACACACACACACACAAAAAAACTGAAAAAAGTGGCCATCTGATAAAGATAGAATTTAATGAACTGAGAAATGATACTACGCAAACAAAATATATTACGTTATTTGGCTGAAAACATAACGCAGGAGAAATTGCTAAATAGCTACACTGTCACAGCTATATGACATTCCGGAAATAAAGGTCATAGTGAGAGAATATTTGATTAATAATGATGATAATAGCAATAGACTACAATTTCTACCAATATTACTACTACCAATAATCATATCACGAAAAGCAACAATGATAATGATAACAGTGTTAATAGTGATGATAATGATGGCAGTAATGATGATAAAATAATGATTAATAATGAGAAGAATGATAATGATAATATAAAGATAACAATAATGATAACAAAGATAATGATCATGATAATAATAGCTATAGAGATAATAATGATGATGAAGAGGATAATGATAACGGTAGTAGTTAGAGTAATAATGATAATGATGGTAATAATAATAATAATGATTATGATAATAATGACGATGATAATAAGAATGATGATAATGATAATAACAGTAAACATAATGGTGTTTTTGATAATGTTAACAGTAACAATAATACCGGTAATAATATCATAATAATGAAGATAATAACGATGATAACAGTATTGATAACAACAACAATTAGAATATCACACAAACTGATTTTTTTAACTTGTATATTTCAAACTGCACAGTTGTTAAAAAGAACACGAAACAAGCTTTTGAAGAAATATTAACTCCCCAAAAAATTACATTTGAAAAAAGAAGAGAAAATAAAAGACAAAAAAAAACTCAGAAAAAAAAATCAGAAAAAAAAGAAAAAAAAGGTTAAAAAAATTAAAAAACGCAGTTTAGAAAAGAGTTTTAGTTCCAGTCGAGAAACGCGAACCCTGGCTTATTAACGCACAGATCACTCTATTGCTTTTCCGGAACAATCGGCGAGTTAAACGGGTTTTACTGGAAATCTACATCGAACACGCTTTAATGGAACCAATGATTACACTAATGGAGGTAATCGAGATGACCGTTATGACAGGATAAGCGGAACGGATACTAATGAGGACAAACGACAGATGATAATTATATCTATTAATTACAATAAAAAAACGGAACTGATACTAATGAAGACGAACGACATAGGATAATTACATCTATTAATTACAATTTAAAAAATGACAAAGAATAATAACATCCATTAACTACAGCAAGGAATAATAAATGACTGATAATTACTTTGTTTTCACGAATGATTGTCTCTTGTCGTTAATATAATTTTCAGTCTAATTAATAATGTTTATATGATTATCATCGCGGATATTATCACAGTCATTATAATTTCTTCCTGTTATTATATTTTTTTGCTATTATTGGTAACATTATTTTTATTATTGTTATTATAATTATCATGTGAGAGTTATTAGTAGTGTTAGCATTATTATTATTATTGTCATTATTTTCATAATTATCTTTTTTTTATCTTCATCATTATTATTGCTATTGTCATTATTATTATTATTATTATTATTATTATCATTATTATTGCTGTTGTTGTTCTTATTGTTGTTGATGTTGATGTTGTTATTATTATCATCATTATTACCATTATTTTTGTCATTATCATAATCATAATCATTATTATCATTATCATTATAATCATTGTTATTATCATTATTTTATTATTATTATTATTATTATTATTATTACTATTATTGTTACTATTATCCTCATCGTTATCATTATTATAATATTTATAATTTTCTTTATAACCATTATTATCATTATCCTCCATATTACTACTATTATTATCGTTGTTATCATTATCAATGTTATCATTATTATAGTTATCGTTATTACCATTGTTTTGTTATGAATATTATTACGATTCTGATTTTCTTCATTATTGCTATCATTATCATTAATTTCCTTAACATTTTTATTAGTGTTATAATTACCTCCGCCAAGGAGGTTATGTTTTTGACGGCGTTGGTTTGTTGGTTAGTTTGTTTGTTAGCAGCGTAGCTCAAAAAGTGCTGGCCGGATTTCATTGAATTTTTGGGGACAAGTCAGAAAGGGACTAACTTAGAACTGATTAAATTTTGGTGACATTCCGAATTACCGTCTGGTTATTATTATTATTATCATTAATTAATCAATAAAGTACACAAATCTACGGTAAACGTGTACCACATTTCACTGACATTCCGAATTACCGTCTGGACGCAGCAGCAGTGTAAATATATTATATACGCACCTTGGCGGAGGTCTGTACTCTCTGAGTGCTTTTCTAGTTATCAATATCATTATCATTATCATTATCATTAATATTATTATTATCATACTTGTTATTGTCATTATGATCATTATCGTTATCATTATCATAGTTATTATTATTCTAATTATTATTATTATTATTATTATTATTATTATTATTATCCTCATTGTTATTACTATTATCATTATTATTACTAGTAGCAATACTGGTAACAGTAGAAGCAGTAAGAATAGTAACACTAGTAATAGTATTTGGAGTAGTAGTAGTAATAGCGTTATCATTACTGCCATTGTTATTATGATTTTCTTTACTATCATCACTGTTATCACTAGTATCACTACAACTATTTCCATTTCATAGCCTTACTATTACTATTGCCATCAATCATAATATTACCAGTAGTATCACAGGATACAGACATATATACACAGACATACAGATAAGCGGAGTTTGATATTACTTACCGTGCCATGTCGACTGCAGAGTGATCAGCAGAGTCAGTCTCCAAAAATTCATTGCAAACTGTAAGAAAAAAAAAATGATCTGCAATTTGTATGGATACGCATACGAACTCTTAATGAGACACACACGAACACACACACATGAACACACACACATACATTCACATAAACACAAACAGACACATGTATGTTAAAATTATCTATAAAAGGAAAATGCTTCGAGGTCCTAATTCTCGTTCCTTTTGCTTTTCCTTCTCCTTTTCCTCCTTTTTATTTTCCTTCTCCTCTTCCTCCTTTTTATTTTCCTTCTTCTCCTTCTTCTTTTCCATCTTTTCCTTCTCCTGCTCTTTCTCTTTCTCCTTTTCCTTCTTATTATTATATTCCTTCTTCTTCTCCTTCTCTTTCTCCTTTTCCTTCTTATTATTATTTTCCTTCTTCTCCTTCTCTTTGTCTTTCTCCTTTTCCTTCTTCTCCTTCTCCTTCTCCCTTTTCTCCTTCTCCTTTTATCTCCTTATCCTCCTTTTTTTCCTTCTTCTCCTTTTCCTTTTTCTCCACCTCCTTGTTTTCCTTCTTCTTCTTTCATTGCAATAGAGGTTCCTGTGAGCGTCTTATAAATATGACAGTGACTCATAAAAGTAATGATGAAGATGATGATGATGAGGAGGAGGAATATCTGCACAAGTACGCACACACACACACACACACACACACACACACACACACACACACACACACACACACACACACACACATATATATATATATGTGTGTGTGTATATTCATTTATTTATTCATCTATGTGTATATATGTAGACTTGCTTCAACAAAAAAACGTAAAGCAATTAACTTAACAGGAATGTCTTCAAGTCAATCACTCGTGTCATATTATCCTGCTACACTGCACACGCTAAAAAAAAATCCTTAATGAACCAAAGTCATGCTGCACATGATCAAAATAGATATTGCATGTTGATTTAGGGATAAGAACAGGGTGTTGGCATTGAGTGTGTGTGTGTGTGTGGGGGGGGTGCTATGTGTGTATCGTGTCAAGGTCCTTTATCTATGAAGTTTTAGTTTTGTCATTGTAAACGTGTGTGTGTTGGGGGTGGTAGTGGGTGTGTGTGTGTGTGTGTGTGTGTGTGTGTGTGTGTATGTGTGTGTGTGTGTGTGGGTGTGGGTGTGGGTG